CCCTGATTCCAGAGAAAACGTGAGCGCATCTACCCATGTGGATCTTTGTCTGTAACACTCATTAGTGCTTCTGTGTATGTACGTCCGTCACACTTGCTGGTCACTATATGTATGTACGTCCGTCACAATCCCACATGACTATATGTATGATTGACTAACGTTTAATAGCCCATTACTTACACCGTTTTCTACGTCATAGATATCCATCCACTAGCACACTTTCTTTTAGAGAAAAAAAGACATATTCAAAAACATTGTTTTTCTCTTAGTTTCTATCATAAGCAAAATTCTATTTCATGATGCAAAAGTCGAGTAGATTCAAAATTCTTTCTACTGTCTGTTAAAAAAATAAGACAAGTGATTATTTTTTAAATAACTCGAGAACGAAAAGAGATAAAAGTTGCGGTTTTCACCTTTCGAAAGAGGAGACTTCAAGACATGTTTTCATAATCAAAATTTTCCAGAAGAGTTTTCTGAAACGGGTTCTCCAGCGGGTCTTTGGAAAACTAGACTACGTGTAAACGTTTTCCAGTAGCATTGTATTGACTTATTTTCTTGGACTTATTGCACGCAGAGTCTTCTTCAAAATAGGAGTCAAGCAAGACCTTGATTTTCCGCTCCTCGAGCGTTGTATCGTATTTCCTACGAGTCTCAGGACCGGCACCCGATGACTATTGGTAGTCTTGAAGACGGTTGAACTACGAACAATCGATCATGTTGACTCTCGTAGCAATATTCGGTTTGAGAAGAAATTTCAAAAACCGACCGAAAAGCGAGTTTTACAAAAATTAGAGTTTTCATGCGGTTTTTGCCTAATATTAAAAAGTTCACTCTTCACTCAAAAAACTTCGAAAAGACTTCAGGATATGATTTGTGGTCTGCTAAACGTGATTATAAGATCGAAGAAATAAAAAAAGTACGTTTTTATTAACAGATTTTTCAGAAGCCCTTTTTGAAAACCTCATCAGGGTTCTGAAAATTTTCTTTGAGATTTCCTATAAATAGGATATAGAATAGCTTAAATACTCTACATCCTGAAGTTCCAAAGTCTTTCTGAAGTTTTTTGAGTGAATAGTGAATTTTCTAATATTAGGTGAAAATCGCCTGAAAACCCTCATTTTCGTAAAACTCGCTTTTCGGTCGGTTTTTGAAATTTCTTCTCAAAGCAAATATTGCCACGAGACTCAGCATGATCGATTGTCCATAGTTCAACCGAGGAAGACCCTGCGTGCTATCAGCCCATGAAAAGAATCAATACAATGCTACTGAAAAACGTTTACACGCGGTCTAGTTTTCCAAAGACCTGTTGGAGAACCCGTTTCAGAAAACTCTTCCGGAAAATTTTGATTATGAAAACATGTCATCAAGTCTCCTCTTTTGAATGGCGAAAACCACAACTTTTATCTCTTTTCGTTCTCGAGTTATTTAAAAAATAATCACTTGTCTTATTCTTTTTTAATAGACAGTAGTTTAGATAATTTTTTGCGTATGTTTCTGAAAGATCCTTGCATAAAGTCAGTAATGAGAATTCATTTTCTCCTGTCATCTCAACTATAATAAAAATAGGACGATAGAAAAGTATAGAGTCGATAGCTCACTATGAAGAAGAGAAAAAAAAGAAACTCTTATGCGAAAACTGACAGTGTTTTTTATGCAAACAGAATCACTTCGGCTTGAATGTTACCAGTTTGTCACACTTCACGAGAGAACAAAGAACGTAGTCCCGGTATGATCGTTAGGCAAGCTATTGAATATGCACGCTAAAAAATCATATGGTCGAGTATTCAAAATGAAAGATTTTCAGACCATGAGGACAAAAATAGTATGGTACAAGCAATTTTCCTTCATCGATTAATAATGTATGTAATACAGAAAAACAAAAGCGGAAGCGTTCCAGAGGTAATATTTTCTAACTGATTGTTTTTCAAACAGAAAACAGTTTTCGTTTCTAATCGGATTAGCATCCAGAAAAGGGTTTTCCATTTGACAAACAATCAGTTAGAAAATATTACCTTTGGAACGCTCCCGCTTTTAGCTTTCTATATTACGTACATTATTAATCGATGAAGGAGAATTGCTTACTTCACACTTTTTTTCCTCATGGTTTGAAAATCTTTCATTTTGAATATTCACCCATAAGATTTCTTAGTTTACGTATTCGATAGCTTTACCGTGACTACATTCCTTATTCTTTCGTGAAACATGACAAAATGGTAACATTCAAACAGAAGTGATTCTGTTTACACAAAAAACTCTATTAGTTATTTATTGTGTAAATGAAAAAACGTTTTCTTATTGTAGTTGCCATTGACATTGATCTATTGCGTTTTTTTTATATAAGTAAACCTATTCAATTTCGTACATTTTAATTCTGTTTCCAAACACAATTCTTCTTTCAATTGCATTTTTAAAAATGTTTGTCATCGTCTACACCACTGTGAGTCTGATATGTCTAATTCATGCACAGTTTCGCCCTATATTATCAAGTCATATTGAGATAATGCCCGATTCTTTGTATGAGGTTGCTTATGAGCGCCATTTTATTGATGAATTGGACGTTCAGACGGTTCAGCAATGTGCACATCAGTGTCTACTAAATGACCATTGTCGAACCGCTACATTCTACCATCAATCAAAGACATGTTCGTTGTATGAAGAATATACTTATGTTGGAACAATTCAGTCAACAGCTAATGACGTAGCAACTGTTATTCAGATTCGCCTATGCTCAAATAGTTTTTATGAGCCAGAGTATGTTTGTTTTAATGATGACCGAGTACCCGTACTCTTCAGTGAAATGTTGCAAAACATGACAGTGAAACAAGTAGTGAATGTGATTTCTTACATGTTATTTATGAGTAGAACAAAACTGTATCTTCCAATTGATAGTGACGATACAATTCAAGTGTATGATTTAGAATCACTTTTACAGACTGACGAGTTTTCTGCTGTCCCATCCGTTTCATTGAATGGCCTTGATGTAGATTCAAATGACAATTATATCATGACAGATTATAATGGTTCACTGTACTTCTTCAATAGTAGTTCATCAATTGTTACTAGTTTATCTGTCAGCAATAATCAATATTATTATGCATGTATTTCCGATAAATATATCGTCGCTCTGTATTCAAATCTTAATGGAGCTGATGTGTTTAATGCAACTAATCTTCAATTTGCTTTTACTATAACAACGGCTTATACAATGACTAACTGTATCATAGTTGATAATCGAATATTTCATTCACAAGGGGATTATCACAATTATGTGATTGATATTGACAGTGCAGCAAGAGCAACTCAGCTATTTAACTATTCAGCATGTGGTAGCTACGATAATACAACTGATGCGGATCATTTTTATATTGATGCATCTGGAAGATTTTATATTCCATGTGTACTTTCAAAAGATTTCACATATCAAGTGTTTGATTATAATGGTCAAAATCACGTCACATCATTCGATACCGTCAAGTATCCGTCTATCTGTGGAATTGCGGCTAAATGCTCGAAATATAAATGTACCGTAGCTGTTTACGATGGAGTAGTAACAGTTTATGAATATTAAGAAGCTCGTTAGAAAATAACATTATTTCATTCTATCTTCTACTATTACGCCATGTTTGTGATTTAATCACATCGATATTTTCAAACAGATTTTAAGTTTAGAGTGATAAAAT